GAGACGAGGCTTTGATAAATCTCTTTTATACCACAGTGCCTGAAACTGGTGCTTTTCATTGCCAGCAGTCTTTTTTTGAAGCACTCTGGCTTTCATTTGACTTCATTACTGATGTCATTTCATCCCCTGATAAGAGTTAGAACGAAATCCGCATGTGTTTTTTGAAAAAGATCTGAGCGCGGGATCGTAGGTGCTATTAAAAAATACAGCTTGAAGCTTTCGACATGTTCTAGAGAGTTTTTTAAAAAACTAAAGAAAATGTTTAGGGGCAATAAAAATAGAATTACTTGGTCGTATTTTATATTTCTGCGCTTCAGCTCCAATCTGTGGAGATTTATTTATCGGTTTATTCCTTTAAATAAAGGAGGCGTCTACAAAGGCTGAAAAATTCAGAGACTTCACACTTTTATCTGATCTGTAAATCAAACATGGAATCTGGACTATATTTTTATTGTTTCTCGGATACAATGGTATTTTTAATTTCCAATCATAAAACCTTTGGCATATTTTTTCCTTTGTGTATATAAATGACTGGCACCGTACAACAAAATTCCCTTTTTTTTACCATTATCCTTGATGGCCTGTGTTGGGCAGCAGTTTTGGTCCTATATGTTAGAACTCCCTTAATGAACACAGACAGATCACAGTAACAAGTAATGCAGCGTGACCAAGAAAAGGTGGGAAAAAATAAAGAAAGAGGGAATCCAGAGAAGATTTAAGAGTTTAAACTCTAAAGTTTTTCTATCAATATCATACCAGTTAAACTTAGACAATTTAGAAAAATGTTCATCTCAATATTCTTACTGAATGTATCTGACTGTTTTATTATTTTTCCTTTTTCCAGATCAAACACATCCCATCAATCCCTGACGCGCTTCTTCTCTGGAAGATGGACATCAGTGGGGCCGGTGGAGGATTCTCCAGTGACTGGTCTTTGTACCAACACTAGTGCCTCTGAGCAAGTCAACCAGTATTTACCGCCTGTTTTCAGCTGTGTGAATAGTCATGTGCTGTATGTTTTCCAGCATGGTGTGTGTGTGTGTGTTTCTGTGTGTGTGTGTGTGTCTGCATGCTGGTGCTGAAAGCGATCCTTTTCAAATATTCTTTTAAAGTGAAAATTACACTAAAAGGTAAACAGATGCTGGGAACACCCAGGAGAGCCAGACATATATGAAAAGAAGAATAAAAAAAAAGAAGGCATTAAAGCCAGCTTCATGCTATAATCCATATGCTTTTTGTTTTTTACGTTGATGAAACCAATGCCTAATGCTTCAGATGATTTATTCCAGACCATAAGAAAGTAGGCCAGTGTGACAATTGTGAGGAGGAGGAGGAGGAGGAGGACTGGGGGGGGGGCGGGGGGGGGGGGACGCTGAATGCATATTCCTGAGCAACTGGAGCCCCTTTAGACTCCTATCAAAGATCTGGTCCAATTCTTCAGGGAATTAGCAAACAAGCAATGGGAAGTCGGCGACAAAACACAGACGAACCTCCCAGCACGCAGACAGCAGCCACCCAGGCCCCCCGGGCCCTTCCAGGGAGCTCTCCTTTCACTCCCACAATTTTACACATTTCAATGCCCATTGCAACTTCAAAGAATCTAATTTTCGTCATTGTCTGTCATCTGCCGGTTGATTTGTAGAAAGGGGGTCATTTTCCATGAACCCCACACAAAAGCCCGCCTCTCCTTTGGCAAAGGAGCCCGCGGTGGCATTTCAGCCCGGGAAAAGGCCGGTCCGGCCGCTAACCGCGGCCACGTCCGGCAAAAAAGCGTCTTCTGCCACGCTAAGAGGCAAAAGCAGGCCGAATTTAATCATAAACAAGATCTGCACATTGAAAAGATTGTTAAAATGAAAGGAATCGGACAGACAAAGGAGGGCGTGGGGGGGGGGGGGGGGAGCGGGGGGCGGGGGGGGGGGGCTTCACAAGTGCTTGGTAATTATTTCCGGCTGCCCTATCTACTTAACCTTAACAATTCCTTCTTGTCACAAAGAGGAGGAAAACATGTTCTCCTCACTCAGAGGGGGTAATGGTTCATGACACAATAACACACAAGACAGTGTTGAGCGGCAACAAAATGAGATGCCGGCGATCAAAAAAACCCCGTAAAATGTTGCTTTTAAATGATTTGTTTTACTAGATTTAAGTCCGAATTATCGCTGGACAATGTTCAAACAATGTGGATGCGAAGAGAGAGAGGTTAAAAAACAACATTTTTCAAAAGTATTTTAAAAAAAGTGCGAAAAAAAATAATAATCTTGGACCGAAAACAAGAGCTGTTAAAAATGCTGGCCGCAGGTTTTTGGGAAGGAAAAGCCGGCACTCGGAGCACCTCGTGAGGCTGCGTTTGGGAGTCAGAGAAACCTTTTGGGTTTTGAGCTTCCCTGCCAGTTGTGAGGGCTACAAGCATTAAACTCCCCGAGACGCGTCCGAAACGATACCCCCGGGATTAACGGGTCAGGCCGGGGTTCCTCACACGTAGTTACATAAAGCATAACTGACAGGTGAGGCCCATGTGTGGCACGCCGGTGCCGTAACTCGTCCAGATGTAGCCGACCTTAACTCATATCTTAGGCCTGGATGAACACAAAAAGCTCCTTTCGTCAAAGAGGGAGGATGTGTCAAAACACAGGCTCTGCCAAATCCCCCGAAAAACACTCCGCTCATTATCGGGGCATTGTTTGCAAAAATACAAGTCTAGACTCCTATGATATTTGCATGCTTTACACTCGGAGCAAGGAGGGTTATCGGCATAAGGGGCTCGCCCACAATACCCGGATTCACAAAGGGGACGATTGTGGCTGGAATGTGGTGTGTTCCCAGGACTGGAGAGGGCCATCACAAAAGGAAAAAACCCACACGGTGGGCATTTTTTTCTTCTACCATGTACAGGAAGCAAAATGAGAACTATCAAGTTTGACACTATTCACAGGGCCTTTACGGGGCCCTACAATACCTGGCTGGGCAGACAGAATGGCGGGCTTAAGAAAGGGGTGGGGGGGGGGCGGCTGGCAAAGTCTCTGTCACGTGAAAGCGTGTCGATACTTCTGACACCTCTTGGCGGCGGGCCAGATGAAGTGCATAGGACTGTGGGGCGGCCGGGCCCTGCAGACGGCTGAAAGCCGGTACCCCTAATGCTCCCAGCAGAGACCCACGGCTCAACGTTTCTGTGTAAACAACAAAGAAAGTGCCTTAGGTTGGAAAAACCTGCTGGATAGAACACGATTATGAGAAGAAGAAAAAAAAGAAAGAAAAGCTTAAAGAATGATATAGGGGAAGGTCATAATGCAAACTCTACAGAGCTGAGAAATACACGCCAGGCCCATTGAGGTGATGCCTTTTCGGTTAAATACTTTCAGGTGCTGCCAAGAAAACAGAACTGAAATGGTATTTATTCACTTTAATTGTTAGGAAGGAAAACAACAGAGCATTAGCCTCATTCCCAGTTTTTTTTTCCTTCCTCATTGCAGTATTAGTTTACGCTGGAGGGCCAGGAGCTTCTTTAAGGGTAACTTTTAGCAAACAGAAGAAAACAAAATGGGCCCCGGGGCCCGCAGTCCGTCTGACCGAGCCACAGGAGGCGTTAGAAAAGCATCTTCAAACCTGGCGACGCATTCAAATGCAGAGATGCACAGCGAATGGCCACACCGAGAGAGAGGGATGCGCCTGAACTCCACCGTGTGGACACCCGCACAGTACCTCCAGTAGGGGCTCCGACTCACACTGTGCCTTTCCCATCCCTCTGGATCAGCTTTCCCCACTCCAAACTCTCACAAATAACTTCATTTCTGAAGCCGTTCATCTGTGCTGGTTTACTTTAATGGTACACCCAGTTCCTCCATGTTTTTCAAGGTATCTGCTGTAAAATATTCATCGCGTGGTTAAACAGGACAGGAGAGGAGAAAAAAAAAAACCAACAGGATCAGAAGTCAGCACTGATTTCTCCACCAGTCAATAAGCCCCGGTTTGCCCTCTCACATGGTTCAGTGTTTTTAATCAGATGCAGACGAGCGGCGCAGCAGTTATGACACTGAGCAACAGAACTCTCCCGGTGTCTGCTCTTTTATCTGTAGCTGCAGGGATCTCATGGTAAAAAAACACAACAAAAATAACAGAAGCGCTGTGTTCAGGTTACAAAGTCAAACAGCATGCATTCAAATATATTAAAAAACTCCGCATTTCACACAAAATGGTAAAACAGCGGGCGTTTAGAATATTCCGGAAAACCGAGTATTCCAGGCCCGGCCGTCCCATCGGCAGCCTGGCATTCCTGTTCCGAATAACCATCAGCCCCTTTCCCTGATGGAGGCAAGCACCTGTCAGCGGACAGCACGGCACTGGAGCTGGAGCCACCGGTGTGTCGGGGGGGGGGGGGGGGTCTGTGGGGGGAGGGGGGGGGGGGGGGGAGGGGGGGGCACTGCCTTCCTCCCGCCACCGCTCTCCCTCCGCATATCGTTTAGCACATCTTGTCAGTTTGGGATGATTTGCAGGTGAACGCTCACATTTCCTGCGGCCCGTTTCCCACAGTTTACACAAAGGGATATTAAACCCAGATTTGCCTGCTCGCTGACATAAAACATGGTCTCCGCACTTTCCAACTCCGCTCGCAGACCGGCCCGCATGAAAGAGAGAGGAGTTCTTTGAGATGTGTAATGCCTTTTCTGAGTTGGAGTGGGCTCGGGCCAAACAGAGCAAATGTGATTTACCTTAAAACAATTCTTTAAAAGCGCTTTTCCGATAATAAAATATTTCGGGGAGTCGGATGTCGCTTTTGAGTGCGTCTTGGAGATGAGTAAAGCGATCCCAATCGTATTTCTTTGGAGGCGAACCAAACCCGTTCACCTGGAAGCCTCTAGCGCCCGGAGAGCCGAGAACAGAGGGCACGGAGACGTGGAACCAGGTGAGTGGATGGGCCTGGACTCTGGAACACACACGCTTAATTGACTTAGACAGCCCGAGTCCCATATTCTTTTACTCAATCATCAGATACTCCCCTCTGGCCTGTTCCGAACAGGACTGCTATTTTAAACCAAAGAGAAAAAAGGGAACTTCACATCTGTTCTTACAATGAACTTCTATAAAGAATGATGAATTCTCCTTCAAAGCCAGCCAGTGAGACTATGTGGGACGTTAGCTTACGAGCACTCGCAGCAGAACCAACCGGTTGGATTTTCAGTGGCTTAAATGCTTTATAAACTTATACATGTATTATTATTCTAACTCACATAATATGATTAGTTTATCAAGACACGCTGATGAAAATACATTAAAAATGATGGAACTTCTTCAGCGTGTGCGTCTACCAGACCTTTTTTCTTTTCTCCTCTTATTTCACTCTATGCAAAGGATAAAAACAAACAGCATCTGTATTGTCAATGCTAAAACAAAAGCTTTAAATCAAAAGGGGGTGTGTAAAAGCAGGGCCGGGCCCCGCACGCTCTGGCTGGCGGCGTGCCCGTGAGGAACGTACCATGAGGAACCTTCGCACCAAAAATGCAGCTCTGCAGCCAGAGGGGTCAGCAGGTCAGCCTGGCTGAATCACGTTGAGTCAGCAATGTGTTGAAAACCCAAACACATCACGCTTGACCCCCCCCCCCCCCCCGGTGTCCCGCCCACGCCCAGACCCAGAGCCTCACTCATCAGCCGCCGCCGCCGCTTCCCTCCTTCACATGTCTTTGAAGAGGAAAAAGAAAAAGTGGGCCCGTTACTGATTGGACGAGGGGGTGGGGGGTGGGGGGGCATCTTTAATAGAAACAAATGACACGTTGGAGTGAATCAACATGGAAGAACGAGAAGCAGCTGGCCTGAGGGTCATCCTGAATCTCAGAAGGGAGGAACAGAGGGGGGTCATTTATATCAAACAAAAAAAAGGGGGGGGGCTGGATGGGCTGCTTATTGATGAAGCTAAAATCTAAAGTGCTTAAAATACAATACATCCTGGACAGATGACTCATAAGTTAGTAGGTATTCCAGAATGTCCTCTAATGGTGTAACATTAGTACGAATCCTTAAGAAATCAAGCTTTTTCTGAGCATCTCGGGAAAAGCTTCAACTCTAGCTGACGTTATTAGTTAAAACAGAAAAGCAGGAGCTGCTTTACGGCTCACGACTGCGTGCATGTGTCCGAACAGCAGCGACGGCCCTTTTTTTCCTCTCTCTGAACACACAACGCTCAGCGGCTGGACACTTCCTGAAGGTATCCAGTGCTGGCAGAGCCCAGGAGTCCTTATAAGAGGCTTAGTCGCTGTGAACGGGCGTGTTAATGAATGAAATACCATTTAGTGGATGATACATAATGAAGCCTCTTGTCTGGCACTCTTCAAAGACCAACATCCTCTGACCCGCTACTCCAAACTTGAGCCCAGAGATTTTTTGCATGAGTGCGCTATATGAGAGCAGACAACCAGACAAAACAGACACTTAAGTTGACTATGTAGGAAGGAGGGAGGAAGGGTGAGGGAGGCGGGTGGGAGGGAGGGGGGGCTGAACGTGGTTTGTCGAACATTCTGTGTGAGGGGCCAGGCACGATCAGAGAACAGCTGATGCTACAAATATTCACAGGTAGTTTGGCTACACTTTTAGCC